GAAGCTTCGATTTGCATCGCGAATCGTAGGCGGACGAGGATCGAGCCAATTACGCAATCTCATCTGCGCAGAAGAAGATGTTGATCGCGACGACTTTTTTTTGCGATAATCACGGGATATGTAAAGCAGCGATTACGCGAGCCATCTCCACGACAGTTAATAAAATATCGCTCGAATACTCAAGGATACACCGCTTGCGTATGTCGCTCGCAGGCGCGTTGGATAATAATACCGATGCGCGCGGATCGTCGCGCTTTGGAATTCGCGAGAAACCGCGGCAGACACCGAGATCGTGGAAGCCCGATAATGATATATCGGAGCCGTCGAGGTTTCCTTTCGGCGGCCGGGCCGTAAATTCAGCATTATTACGCTATTACTTATTCCATTATTCATCGGCTGAAAATAATTTCGTCCCCGGAGAGTCGGGTAATTTATCGGCCGTCGGGCCGGGAAATTATTTGTAAACGGATAGCCGTGCATCAATCGCCGGGCTATTCGTTTTCTATTCCGCGATCTGCGAGCGAGGGAGCGATCGATCGACCGACCGACCGACCGACCGACCAACCGACCGACCGACCGACCGACCGACCGACCAACCGACCGACCAGCCGATCGGCCGGCCGGCCAGCCGTCGCTACGTACACATGGCGGGATTAGAGATCGGTGGGTGTGTTACGCCGGTCGGGGATCGGGTGTGCGATCATGCGTTAAAATGAAAGGAGACGCGCGACGTGCCGAGATGAGAAATAAGAAAAAACGAACTAACGAGACTCGATAGCGGCTGGTCAGCCAGCCAGCCAGCCAGCCAGCCGACGGCCGATTGGTTGCCGCTTGGTGTGTCCTAAAAGGAGAGTCTCGTATCCGAGATATCTGAGACGATATCTGCGCGGTCGCGCTCAAATTTGGATTCCGCGGCGACGATACTGTTCGATAAGTCCGCTAATATTGGGAATAGAATCGTTTGATACGCGTCTTGATGTACTTTGCGGCCTTGTCGCCTTTATTCTCTCATTCCTTTTCCCTTTTACACTTCAAAGTATCTTGATATGATTCGAGAGATCGCAGTTCCGTCGCGGTGTAGCGTAATTTGACTCTGCCCTGGTCGGAAAAAATATTTATTAAAATCCCGGAGACACGCGGAGTTTTATCACATTCATCACTCTTCTACACCTTGACAAGGGTCGTATGATATTTCGCACAACTGCCAGGACGAGAAACTTAGCCGTTATGGGTTAATTAAAGTCCTCATCACGTGGTCATAGATAATAGCGGAGAGCATATACACCACGGTGCGCGGACGCGTTCTATCGATCTGTACCGCTAGTCGATCGATCGATCGATCGATCGGCCGGCCGGCCGGTAACGATTTTTTCCACTTTCTAAACGGCGCGGGTCCGCTTCGGGAGCGAGCGAGCGAATGAGAGAGAAAGAGAGAGAGACCGGAGACCGCGCGCGGAATTTCGTGATTAGCTCGGCCGTTTTTGTCAACGTCACGTTGGCAATAATGTTCGTTGGCGCGTAGAATTATTGCCTCATCGATGCCGCTGTAGGCTGTTGTAGCTCGCGCTTGTCTCGAATCGCTCTTTTGTGGTTCGCAACGGTCGCCGCGATATCCCTGTCTCCGCTTTCGAGCTCGACGAGCGAGAGCCGCCTGCATCCTTTCCGCGACGGGGAACAAAGAAACGATCCTCTGTCCACCCCCGCTTTAGTGCTTTGCACGAGTTCCTATCCGCAAGAATCGCGTCGAGAATTTCAGTCGCTGACACTTCCGACTGTACACCCTACTGTCGGTTTTTCTATCTGAAAGCCGTCGCTCTGCATCCCAGTGATAAAACATAAGTTTTCGTATCAAGAGTTTGCAAAAATTCGTTGGTTCGTAAATAACTTTATTGGCTCAAAAGATACATTGTTTTACAGATGCGGAGTCAGACACCTGAAAAGTGGCAAAAATTGATAAATAATATTTCGTTATTATTAATAACAGGAATGTACTTGATAATCCGGTCAACTTTCGCAAATTTCAAAAAATATTGAATTCTTTGCGGGAAATTGGAAATCACATTGCGATTTAATTACTACCCTATCTCGTATTTCTCTCTTATCCTTCACTTTCTTTCTCTCGCTTTCAAAACCTTAAATCTGAAACGAATGCAGTTAAGTATCAGTTTCATCGACACACGGAAACCGGAAGCCCCTCTTAAGGTGTACATGAACGCTAGACCTGGACGTCGAACGCATTGATGTGCAATCAGCTCTTAAAGAGTACAAATCGACCCGTAGCTCAGGCAACATAATAGGGGAGTAGCAATCGGATGTTTTATTTCATTTATTTATCGAAGCATGAACGATTGGGTTCGTTGATTCGCGTTTCTCCCGTGTTATCTTTACGCAACAGTGTTATCACACCGGCACGTGCGCGAGTGTAATGCGAGAACGCGAAAGGAGATAATGATGCTTAGTCGTGTATCGATGATAGCGTGTGATAGACGAGATTTGAGCTGATTACGTTCGATTAAAAATACACAAGACCGGGGAGCGCCGTTTCGAGCGAATTTAAATGAAAAACAACGCGATCGAGGTGTTAATTCGCGCGGCGCGCTGCAATTTTGCGAAATGACTTGTGGATCGCGCTCATAGTGCAATCCGATCGGCTAAACGATGTTATTACAGTGATAACTGTTATAACGCCAAATTAATCGCGGCGGCGTTTGCTTGTCCTCTTTGGCGATTCCGCGATAAGAGTTGGGGCGATGGTGTGCGCGCGAACGTTGTTGTTCAGTCGGACGGGCTTGAATGGGATCGAACGGGACGCGATAATACGTGTACGGATCGAGTGGGCGTCGAGGATCGACTCAAACGATCACGCGTAGCGTGTGTGTACAGGCAAAGTTCAAGCCTCATTAATTCAACGTCGGTTCGTCCGTCAATTAAATCCATCTAGTCGCCGAGGGATCTCCCTCGATTAGACAGCGACATTTGCTCGCCCGACTTGCAAGCTGATTGTTAACAGCGTCAAGTCAATTCCACGAGGATTGCAAACAGCCGTGACAACATGACAAAATAGAAATTCACGCATATCACTTGGAACACTCCGTAGAAATAGAAAGAGAGTGTCGCGATCTCCCTCGCAGAATCACTCTCGGATTTGTTACTTCCTCATTCTTTTAATTCTTATTTTAAAACGAGTTACCTCGTTAAGATGCGCGAATGATGGGATGAAGCGAGATCTAGCGTCGAAGGTGCACGGACATCAAACGACGCGGCATGCTCTCTCGCTTCTCGAGCGCGCCTTATTTGTCGTCGATAAGGGAACTCTCTACAATCTAAATTTTTTTAATTATTTTAATGAAACGTGATTAAGAAAAAGGTAGATCGTGTAATCGTGCTCTTCTCTTTTGCTACCAGCAAATTTTGAGATATATTCGTGACTATTTGTCCACTTGAGGTTTATATATCTCGATGCATCACGCTGCAGAGCGCAGCACGAGCCAATGGAGCAAGAATCGAAAGGTATCGCCACAGAGACGTTGTACTTTCGCGAGCCAACGTGCACGTATTGAAATACTTCGTATACTTTCGTTCTTTCCGAGCGTGAACTTCGATAGATGCATATGTCTTACGTGTTTGCCAATTAAGTGCCAATGCGTACGGTTAATTGAGTCGGTGTTCGTGTTTCATCTTGAGCCTCGAGTACTTATTAATGGATAGATAATACTGGATTGCGTGGAATAATTTATTAGAATTTATTCCGCGGAGCACGCAAAGTCTCGATTCGGTTCATTTCATCCTCCAATCTCGTTTATCTTGTTTATCTGCTGTTACGTAATTTTCTTACCAGTGGATCGGGCGTTACAATCACGGTTTATCTGTACGACTAATGAAATTGTTACAGGAATATAAGGCGAAGGGAAATCGATAGGTGACATTATCGCGTAGGTAATCAACTTGAAGTGTAATATTTTAATAGTAATCATAATGAAGTTACAGGATGCTTTTATACAGTATGTATAGATAGACAGCGTCGTAATATAGTTTCCCTTAAGTAATTCGTTCAATACAATTATGCTTAATCACTTCGTAAGTTCATTATCGTCTATAGTGAAAGAGAGATAGAAGGAAGTAGAGAAAGATCGAGGGATAGAGAGAGATAGAGAGAGAGAGAGAGAGAGAGAGAGAGAGAGAGAGAGAGAGAGAGAGAGCG